CCTATCAACGACTTGTACCAATTAAGGAACAACCACTTTCATTTTTTTTTTGGTTTTTTTTTGTGCGGATACAATAACATCCTCAGCTAGCACCATAAATAAGTGACTCTTTATTACTTAAATATTTATTTTTCATTTAAAAATATTTAATTCATTTCGATCATTAAATTCATTTTATTTTTTCTACAATACAAGCTGTGAAATAATTTAAATCATTAAATAGTCATTTCATGTTTTAATTATTTTCCTTATATTATAAAAATGCTTTTAAGCATTTATAAAATAAATGAAATACTTCTTTAAAACATCAAATGTCAATTTAAGTTAATATGTGTCATTAAAAGTTTTATCCTTTGAAAGCACAAAATTTTATATTAAAGAAAAAAAATTAATGAATAAAAAAAATACTTACATTAATCTTTCTGGAACCTCTTTATAAGCTTATTCTTCCACTTCATTTCATTTAACTATCGCCTATAACAATTAAAATTGCATATGTATGTATGTACGTATGTATATATAATAATCTAATATAAACAAACCCCAACCCACCTTACTAAAGTTTGCTAGGTATTATTCTCCCATCTGCTCGAACCCGCAACAAAAGCCTTCTCGACAGCTTCCTTGCGTCACACGAGACGACACCCACGGACTAGCAACCTTGTGCTTGACTTGGCTTCACCTCCTAAACCCAACACCTTCCTCCTTCCCACACTCGATCATGTTACCCTCTCAATTCACTAGGGTTATGCACGTGCCACTGCATGCCACATCTTCTACTCAGATCGTCACCCACAAAAGGCTACGAACTTAGACTCCATCGACTATACGTTCATTTTAACATCCGTTTAATAAAGTGGAGGATTGTGTTAGGCAGTTGACAGTAAACATAATTTTTTTGTCAAAATCTTAATGTTATAAAAAATAATAGAATTTGAGATAGAATTATAGCCCTTAAGATTGTTGTTAAAACTAAGATTTTTAATGTTAAAAATTTTATACTCCTCAAGTAGGTTTAGATATAGGTTAAAAAAAATCTTTAATAACCTACGAGAATTAATACAAATGATATCTCTTGAAGAAAAAACTTTTATTGGAGGAGATTTAAATGGGCATATTGGTAAAGTGGTAGAATATTTTATAATTATTCATAGTGGTTGTGGTTTTTGAGTGACTAATGAAGAAAACGAAACCATATTAGATTTGTTTTAGCATATCATTTTGTTATTGCTAATATTTTATTTAAGAAAAGAGATGAGAATATTATTACTTTAAGAATGAAGCTAATAAAACACAAATTAATTATTTTCTTACGAGAATAAAAAGATTATAAAATAATTCCAAGCGAAACCTAAACTACTCAAAGTGGCAAAAGATGTACTTGAAAAATCAAAAAAATATATATATATTAGTAAAAATAATTGGTCGTAGAATAATAATGTACAAAAAAAGATAAAATATAGAGAATTGGGAAAAATATAACGTGGACCCTAAAGAGTCTAAGAGAATCATTTGTGACATTAAGAATTTTATTTTTAGTGATATTTATAATAGATTAGATACTAAAGAGAATGAAAAATAAAAGCATAAACCATTCAAACAAAGAGAAAAGAAAAGTACAGATTTAATTCAAGCAAAGTGTATTAAAGATGAAAAGCAAAATAGTGCTATTCATAGAGAAAAATATTCAAAATAGGTGTATGAGATATTTTGATAAATTTTTCAACAAATATTTTGAAAATATGATCGACCTTAGTGATCTTGATATCGATAATAATAATAATTTTGTTATTTTCATTGTCACATTAGTAAAAAGGAAAATGATGTTTTAAAGAAAACTAGGGGTGGGAAATCAGTGGGATCTGATGAAATCCCAATTGAAGTGTATAACTATTTATGAGAATTTAGAGTTTCTTAGCTCACTAAACTCTTTAATATTATTTTAAAAACTAAGAAGATGTCTAAGGAGTGGAAGAAGAGTAATTTTGTACCCATTTTTATGAATAAAGGCAATGCAAAAGAGTGCAAATAATAGAGGAACTAAGTTAATGTGTCATATATTAAAATTACAGGAGAGTAATTGAACAAAGAATAAGACATGATATAAAAATTTCTCATAAACAGTTTGGATTTATGTCGAGCAAGTCTATTATGGAAGTTATGGAAGCTATACATTTATTGAGAGATTTGATGGATCAGTACAGAGAAAATAAGGAGGATCTAGATATGATTTTTTATTGATTTAGAAAAAGCTTACTATAAGGTTCCAAGAGAAGTTCAAGAAAAGAAAGGCGTTGATATCACTTCTATTCAAGTTATTAAAGATATGTAAACTAGAGTTGTTACTTGTGTTCGAACAAAAGGAGGACTGACCAATTATTTTCCTATTTCAGCTGGATTGAATCAGAGATCGACTTTAAGCCCATATCTTTTTGCTTTAGTTATGAATGCTCTTACCGAACATTTACAAGAGGATGTACATTGGTATATGTTATTCGTTGATGATATTCTTCTTATGGATAAGACAAGAGAAAGAGTTCAGAATGAACTTGAATTGTGGAGGTCTACATTGGAGTCTAAAGGTTTTCATTTGAGTAGATCTGAAATTGAATACATGGAATGTAATTTTAGTAGTAGTAGATCTAGTAGTAAAGTTGTAACTATGGGTGATAAATCATTAAAAGTTGCAAGTGATTTAGATATCGCGAGTTAATTTTCAAAGTGATGGTCATATAGATGGGGATGTTATTAGTACAATTCAAGTTGGTTGGTTGAAGTGGAGGAATGCACCGGGCCTTTTGTGTGAAAGAACAGTATCTCATAAACATGAAAGGAAAATTTTATAAGATGGTGGTGAGACAATTGAGAAAAAAAGATTTTATGTAGCCGACCCCAAATAGTGGGACAAAGGCCTGTTATTGTGCTGTCGTTGTTGGTGGTGAGACCCACAATGCATTATGGCATAGAATATTGGCCTTTAAAAGAGAAGCATAAAACTAAGTTAAATGTTGCTAAGATGGGAATGTTTAGGTGGATAAGTGGCTTCACACTTAAAGACAAAAATGCGAAATTAATATATCTATGAAAGGGCTGGTGTAACTACTGGCAGACAAGATTAGCGGGAGTCGTCTTAGATGGTTTGGTCACATTAAATATTGACTATTTGATGAACTCGTTATGTGACTAGATATTTTAGATTCGTCTTATTTTAAGAAAGACTGAGGTAGACATAAAAAGACTTGAGCATTATGCATAAAAAAATGATCTTAAATTATCACAATTAATAAAAATACGACACCTAATAAGACTCAATGGAGAAAAAGGATTCACGTAGCCGACCTTATTTAGTGTGACAAAGGTTTGTTGTTGTTATTGTTGTAAATTGTAAATATTTTATTATTTTGCTCATAATTTATTAGTAGTTTTTTTTCTTTCTTCAAACAATAAATATAAAATTTCCAAATTTCTGCATTTTCACCTTATATTAAAAAAACTATTCATCAAAGTTATTGTCTATGTAAACAATGATTCCACTCATCAGATTATTGTCTCCATCATCTGGCCCACATCTCTTTCTTTCAACAAACCTCAATAAAACCTATATAATTTTCACATGATTCAGTAATATTCAAATACAAAATTGATTTCAAAGTCCAAGGAAACCTTCATCCTATTTCTAAAAACTCCTCCTTGATTTCCTCCAACGTGGAGGGGTCACAAGTCACAAGATGAAAACCATAATATATATATATATATATATATATATATATATATCATAATTTTCACATTATAAGAAGCTTGAATTTTTTTTTTCTTTATGTATACCATCCTACCCGAAGGGAATATTAAAAATCAGTTACATTTATTTCTTACATGTTATGGCTCCTCTCAAACTGGAAACCAACAGACATCTTTTTATTTGCTGCCCCCACTTCCTTCCCCCAAAAAAGGGAAGAACTAACAAAGAACAAGTGACCAAATTCTACAAAATAAATATATTTGTGAATCAACAATAAGGCAAACCACCTTCGAAAGCTTGACGTATTTAAAACATGATCTTCCAAGGCATCAACAAAGTATAAATGAGATAGCCAGTGTTCCTTCAAAATCATTATGTCCCATAGTTTGTAGGAAATCCCATACATTGATGATCAAATAGTTGAATGAGTATAATATTTATGTCAAGTGTATTATCACTTTCAGTCTCCATTATCTTGTAACTATGGGAATTGATGTGATGATAAATTTTGAATGTCATGGATACTTGATACATCTTTTGTGCCACAGATGTCATAACTATATCAAGATTACTAGAGCTAATGTCATTAAATTTTAAAAAAATTGGTAGAAATTTGTTAGGTTATTTAAAATTTGTTAACTATTTTTATTTACTATTTCTTCAATCTATAAATATGGGAATTCTAAGACAATTTTATGGCATAAAGCAATTTTGAGAATGTAAATAAGACGGTTTTATGGCGTCAATAAAATTCTATTCTCGATGAGAAGATTCTTCTTCATAAATTATAATTTCAAACTTGACCATCATTTAAGTGCACTCTTTGTTCCAGCTAAACTTAAATTATTAAATCATTATATATTTTCTATTTTTTTTTTCACCTTTTTCAGCACATTTTCAAGAAGTCACTTGTAGCTGTATAAAAGAAATTAATTTCCAGCATATTTTTTTTAATTTTAAGAAGCAAGATTTCCATCCTGTGCCATCTTACAAGCAAGCTAGAGCACTTTATAAGAGATTTCAAAAAGTAGTTATTTCCGTGCTAACATAGCTTTACATTATTAATAACATGTAAAACATGGTATCACCACCCAAAAAAAAAAAAGAGACCATCTTTATCTGATAAATCAGGTTTAATTCATGGAACATATCAGCCTTTTAAACTGTAAACAACCCAAAATCAAAAACAAGAAAAAATAAATAAATAAAAGCAAATAACCAAGGATAATGAAACGCAAACGTTCTAAAATATTTCACCTACCTTATCCAGTAGATCACCAATATTTTCCCTATCGACAACAATCAGAGAAAACCCAAATCCACAGGCCACACTGCAGAAATAAATAACAAGTTACAGAAAAAAAAAATGGATGATATTAATGTCAGCCAAATTCATGCCAACCTTTTGACATGCATACCCTCCAGACTGTCAACCTTTTTGGGAATTGTAGAAGTTCTGCAGTTAGGGTTGTATCAATGGTCATTACTAAAAAAATAAGTGCCATAAAAGAATGACTTTCTGCAAAAAAGTGTCAAACACATACTTTGGACCTAACTGGCCATAACCCAGCTCTCCATATTGAGCATGCCCCCAACTAATACATGAATCGTCAGCACCAATAACATGATGCATGTTACCAGATGCCATACAACGAATGTTCCATCCACTGTTTAAAAAAAAATGATACAACCAAACATGATGCTGAGCAGAAAAAAACAAATGAAAAATCAGAAAAGATTTCAATAGACAAGAGGTAGGGAGGAAGAACATAAGCTTTTGATAGATGTTATAGCACTGCTACCAAATGTAATCATCAACAGTAATTTCTCTAAATCTTTATAGTAACACAAGTTGGTAGATGTCAAGCATTATTTTTCATCATAATAATCCATCAACATTTTTAAATAGATCATACAAGTTTGCAATATAACTGGGAATTAACTGCTTTCAATCTACAAAAGGGGTCAACTAAAATCCAATGCCAAACACGTCGCAGGTAGGATAGCGAATTTGACTGAAAAAATCGAAAATGACATAAAAATCGGATCTAGCTCTGATTGAACTCAATGACTCCATCATTTAGTCAAGTATGGCTCAGATTGAACTCAAATTGAGCCAAGAATGGATCGTAGAGCAGAGCTCTTACACCATTCTCATGTGAGAGATTGCATTCTTGACGGAACTTCACATACAAGCCTCAAAACAAGTATAAAGGTTATAAAAGAAAACAAAATGGAGGTTACTGCACCATGACATAAGAACTTCTCTACCACCCCAAGTTCAGTGGGTTAATTACGAAGCTCTTCCAGTTAACCAAATGAATGCCCTAACAATGCAAACCACCTTGGTCTAGCTCTGATTGAACTCTGATTGAACTCAATGACTCCATCATTTAGTCAAGTATGGCTCAGATTGAACTCAAATTGAGCCAAGAATGGATCGTAGAGCAGAGCTCTTACACCATTCTCATGTGAGAGATTGCATTCTTGACGGAACTTCACATACAAGCCTCAAAACAAGTATAAAGGTTATAAAAGAAAACAAAATGGAGGTTACTGCAACATGACATAAGAACTTCTCTACCACCCCAAGTTCAGTGGGTTAATTACGAAGCTCTTCCAGTTAATCAAATGAATGCCCTAACAATGCAAACCACCTTGGTCTAGTAGCCGAGAGCTTTGTCTTTCAAAGAAAGATGTCTTGGTAAGGCCTTGCATATACGGTGTGTGTGCATTTGGGTATGTGCGTGGAAAAAAATAAATAAATAAATAAACTAAAAGCCCTAACAATGCAACGAGCAAAACTACCACTCCATCATGAACATATAGATGAACACTAAATGACTCATTGAAGAGAAATTTTAAGTTATAGAACAAAATAATTTGACTCTTTTATGAAACCTTCACTAATGAAATCCTCAACCAACAAATGCCAATATAAAAGAAAATGCCAGCAAATATATAGAGCACAAAGAGGTAGTATGCAAAGTTTATGCCTACAAGCATAGTGACTAACAAAAGAAGAAATCACAAATCATATACCACGTGTACAGTAGTTAAACTCATGCACCACTCAATGTGCTTATCTGCACACATTCGCCATCCAACTTCTCATTATGCATGTGCTCACCTGCAGTTCAATGCTTGAAGTGCTCTCCTAGCACTTGCTCATTGTAATCACAGTAAATTTTTTATAATATAATATTATACAAACCCTCATATGATTAAGAATTATATGCAGATAATTATGCATATATAACATAGTTTACTATCTATATAAGTGTACCAAAATTCAATATAATACAACAGCAATTAATATTTTGAATGAAATCTACTCAAGAATTTCGATTAAGGGAATATACTAAATATCCCATGTATCCACTACCAAATGATGTATCATTTAAAAAATTGTTAACATCACATAGAGTTTCTTTGTAAGACTAAAAAATATTTTCATCCCTGCCACAATTTATAAGGTTTGATAATCTGATGCAAATTGGAAACAAATTATAATAAAAAGAAAAAGGTCTTATCAAGAAAAAAAAACAGGGAAGTTGGCATACCTAAAGAAAAAAAAAATCATTGGATGGAAATAAGCATACACTGTGAAATACCAAGAGATGGGTCCATTAGATAGGTACAAAGAAAGTATAGCAGACAAAAGGTATATTACGACATATAACATAGATTATATTAAGAGATATTCACCAAAGTTGCCCAGATGAATATTATTTAGTCATTAAGAGCTAAGGTTGGAAATTAGAATAAATGGATGCCAACGTAGTATTCTTGCATGGAAACCATATAGATAAGATTTGGAAGAAATATTGTGATTACTAGGGCATACGTTGAAAACAAAAACCTTGAATGGGTTAAAAAATCTCCAATGGCATGGTATAAACTGTTTGCAAATGTGACATTAATCATAAGATGCAAACAAAGATAGGAACATCATACATTGTTCATTAAAAACTCAAGCTTGGGATTCATACTCTTACCATATATTGTTGATAACATTGTAACTGAGAATGATGGAAAGCGAAAAAAAGCTTAGTGGAAGTGTTTGGTCCAAGCAATTGAACTTACAAATGTGGAAGGTTTAAGTACTTCCAAGGACTTGGGGGTTGTTTGGCTCCATGAAGTATTTAGAGTTAGTAGGATTTAGTAAATCCAGATTCATTAAATCCACCCACTTGCTGAATTTATTAAATCAAGATTTACAATGAATGGAAAGCAAAATTTGGACCTTAAATCTGGAATTTCATAAATCCATTAAACTGGACCTTAAATCTGAATTTCATAAATCCATTAAACTTTTTTTTTTTTTTGTGTTTGGCTAGATTTAGTAAATCTGAGCCATAAATTCTATTAACATGGAGTTACCAAACACCCCCTTAAAGTCACACAGTCCAAGAAAGAAATCTCCATCTTTTAACCAAAGAACAAAACTCCTGGAAGAAACAAGAATATTGTGCATAAAGATCACAAATTTGGTGAAGCTTGGGAGGATGTTGCAATGGTTGGTGAGATGTATCAACGCCTGGTGAAAAGGCAAATTCATCCCTCCCACGACATAAGTTTTCAATCAAAATAACACTATGGGCTCTTATAAATAAAGAAATAAATTAAATAAAATAAGAAATCCTGATAACTACTCCCGTCTAAAATGCTGAAACTATTTTTTCTCTTATTTTCACATAAAGAAATTGAACCGAACCCCCTCACACTCGTCCTCTGATACAGTCACGACTAGAGCTAGCCAGAAAAGCAACAATGAGATTGCTGCGTACAGGACCTTCGAAACTCCTATATTTCTCTCCTTTCGCTCTGCATCACGCACATAGAAGCCCCCAGCATCATTATCTTCGTGAGAAACAGAAGCAGCGGAAGCCTCCTCATTGTACCTACCCCACATGTAATACAGTCTCAATTAGAGCTATCGAGAAAAAGACGTACAGCTATTTCTGAAACTTCCCATGCTCAATTCTCTTCCGCAATCTCCTCTCTGTCCCGGGCAACATGGCCCCAATTCTCTTTATCTCGCTCCCGGTGGAGCATTTAGTCGCTGCTAGACTTCTTCCAAAGTGCAAACCAAAGCCCACTTATAGTTGCTCTCTCTAGTGAACATTAGCCGCTCAAATCCATTGTTCGCCCACCACACTAGCGCTACAGACACGGCAAGGGCTAGTAGGAAAAGGTAATGACAAGATTGTTGCATACAAAGACATCTAAAACTTCCGTATTTATCTCTCTGCATTCATTGTTTTGGGCGAACACCTCTCCCTCCAATGCAGCCTCATACAACTTCAGGACAATGCTCCTGCCTTACTTCCTTGCTCAAAATTCATGGAGACAGCAATAAACCCCCATTGCTTGTCTTCCCTAGTGTTCTTGTGACTCCAGCCGAAACAAAAGAGAAGCTTCAACTCCATCAAATAAAGAAGAAAGAGAAAGATTAAATTAATTTGCATAAGATGTTAAACAAATTTTGATGAAAAAAAGAAAGTATCTCATTCTGGCATGGACATTATGAACCTCAAGAAGAAGGATGTTAGTGTGGAACATGGAATGGAAAGAAGGTTGATGATGACTTATAAGATGATTGTTTATGCATATAAGATGAAGAAGCAAGAACAAAGAATGTCGATTTTTTGGCCTTGTTAAGATAAATGTAGTCGTCTCACAAGCAAAAGCATAAATGCAAGAAAATTTATAAGTACTCATTCAGCTTATTCCAACTCATGGGAAAATTATGCTCACATCATGTTCATGCAGTTTAGTCGAAAACCCATACATGTCTTATGAACTGGTGGATTAGAAGAATCTTTTAAGGTCATAGTTTCTCATGACGCTGACCAATGCACTTTATAGACAATTGGGCAGGTTATGCACCCTCAATGTAACCCCCTAAGAAGGGACGAGGACGGGAGGCTCCAAAAATTTCAGTGATTTGAACTTTCAAATTATTTTAATACATCAACTAATTGAATTTAATAGCAACAAAATAAAAAAATAACTAAAAATAATTATCCTTTTTAATAGTATAACAAAACATGTGATTGGATCTACAAAAGGCTCAATATCTCGCTCATGATTAAAAATAAGGACATTCAATGAATTTTTAAAATAATCCTTGAATTTAAAATTTTAACACATGAAGAAGTTAATACATTAGCAATTAAGGTATTAACACGTGAAGACCAAAAGACCTTGAATGACAAGTGTTCAAAATATCATTATACAAGTAAGCAGAAGGCAGTAAAAGCTTAAAAGTAAAATTTTGCATGCAGCCTAAAGTCATGATATTTGGGTAGAAATTTTGAATTTTGAATGTTATTTCGATTTATATATATAAGTTCCAATGAAATTTTCAAAATTAAAAACGATTGTATTAGTTAGGAGCATATATCTGCTTATACAACTTCATTTTTTAGATTTATCCACAAGACCAAAAATATATTTTCCTCTAAATTACAAAAACTACCATTCTTTGCATGCATGTTGTTGTCATTGTAGTTTTAAAGTATACGAAGCATTGGCTGGCAGCCCCATAAGTCTTATTTCCCTAGACTAGGTTCGAGTTTTAACCATTTAAGTAGAACTCACCTTAATTTAGCTTCTAAGGTGGTCATGCTGGCCATGCCATGAGACAAAACTCTCTTAGGCT